GGCCAATGTGGCAAAACCCTGTTTCTACTAAAAATACAAAAAGTAGCCAGGCACGGTGGCGCATGCCTGTAACCCCAGCTTCTCAGGAGGCTGAGGCGGAAGTATTGCTTGAGCCCAGGAGGCAGAGGTTGCAGTGAGCTGAGATTGTGCCACCGCACTCCAGCCTGGGCAACAGAGAGAGACTCCATCTCAAAGAAAAAAAAAAAATCAGAGTATCTGAATCCATCTGTTGGCATGCTATGTGAATAAATAAGCCTGGATAGAATATAGCATAAGGCAAAATTAGTCCAGATAGGACTTTGAATATAGAGATCTGCTTGTCCAGTGATGATGCTTTATTGATGAGAAACTTAAAGCCCGGGTAATGTGGTGGCTGGTCTGACAGCACATGCAGTTGGTAAAGAACCAGGTCTCCATTTCCCTGATTTCATTTCTCTTTGCTCACTACACTGCAATCTCCACCTCCCTGGTTTAAGCAATTCCCCTGTCTCAGCCTCCTGAGTAGCTGGGACTACAGGCACATGCCACCACACTTGGCTAATTTTTTTTTTTTTTTTTTTTTTTTTGAGACAGAGTTTCACTCTTGTTACCAAGGCTGGAGTGCAATGGCATGATCCTGGCTCACGGCAACCTCTGCCTCCTGGGTTCAAGCAATTCTCCTGCCTCAGCCTTCTGAGTAGCTGGGACTACAGGCGTGCGCCACCATGCCCAGCTAATTTTTGTATTTTTAGTAGAGACAGGGTTTCACCATGTTGATCAAGATGGTCTCGATCTCTTGACCTCGTGATCCACCCGCCTTGGCCTCCCAAAGTGCTGGGATTATAGGCGTGAGTCACCACGCCCGGCCAAGTTTACCATTTTAAAAGTTTCAGTCCTATCAAGATATAGAATGTCAAAATAACCCCAGAAAGTCTTCTCATGCCGCTTCCCAGAGTCAATCCCCTGTCCCCTGCCTCCAACACTGGAGGCATCAATTGTTCTGATTTATTTTTAATTCTTAGTTTAGCTTGTTCTGGAATTTCATATAAATACAATCATACAGTCTGTGTTCTTTTGTGTGAGGCTTATTTCATTCAGCATAATTTTAAAAAATTTATCCATGTTGGCCAGGCATGGTGGCTCACACCTGTAATCCTAGCACTTTGGGAGGCCAAGGTGGGCGGATCACGAGATCAAGACCATCCTGGCCAACATAGTGAAACCCCGTCTCTACTAAAATACAAAAAAATTAGCTGGGCGTGGTGGCAAGCGCCTGTAATCCCAGCTACTCGGGAGGCTGAGGCAGGAGAATTGCTTGAACCCAGGAGGTGGGGGTTACAGTGAGCCGAGATCACGCCACTGCACTCCAGCCTGGCGCTTGGTGACGGAGTGAGACTCTGTCTTAAAAGAAAAATGTATCCATGTTGTTGTGTGTATCAGTACTTCATTCCTTTTTATTGCTGGCTAGTATTCTACTGTATATGTATACCACAGTTTGTTTATCCATTCTTGTGTTGCTGAACACTTGGGCCCACTTCCAGTTTAGGTTTGGGATAAATAAAGCTGCTATAAACATTTCCATACAAGTCATTTTTTTGGACATATGTTTTCGTTTTTCTTGGGTAAAGACCCGAGGAGTAGAGTTGCGGGGTCATAGGGTCGGATTGTGTTTAATTTTATGGGAAACTGCCAGACCATCTTCCAAAGCGGTTATAGTCTTTTATACTCCCGCCAACACTGTATGGGAATGTCTGCTTTCTCTTTCTGCACTGTAGTTTTATCTCTCATTCGCTCCTTAAGATGCATCCTTTTGAGAGCTGAGCTTTATATGGGGGTTTTCTATTCAACTCCCACTTTGGATGGGCCTGAGACTTCATTTCCTTCTTCTGTGCCCTGAGTGTCAATCACACTCAGTGCTACAGTTCACTGTGATTGAGAAAATACCCTTATGATAAAAGCCAGTTTCAGGAATATACCGCCTAGGATTCCTGTTTTTATTTCATTTTGGCATTTGCAAATTCTTCACGTGTTTTACAGATCTTCAGAATGTTAAAAATATATAATTATTCATAATTTTTAGTTGTTTTCCATGAAAGAGTCATTCAGGAAATCTAGTCTGCCATGCTATCATAATGGGAAGTCTGCAGAATATACTTTTAAAAAGTAGATCAGGCCGGGCGCAGTTGCCCATGCCTGTAATCCCAGCACTTTGGGAGGCCGAGGTGGGCGGATCACTTGAGGCCAGGAGTTTGAGACCAGTCTGACCACATGGCGAAACCAATCTCTACTAAAATACAGAAATCAGCAAGACATGGTGGTGGGCACCTGTAATCCCAGTTACTCGGGAGCCTGAAGCAGGAGAATCACCTGAACCTGGAAGCTGGAGGTCGCAGCTGAGATCACTCCACTGCACTCCAGCCTGGGCAACAGAGCAAGACTCCTTCTCAAAAAAAAAAAAAAAAAAGTAGATCACATCATCTCATACTTCTGATTAAAGTTTTCTGATGGTTTCATCTAGCACTTAGAACAAAACCTCAGCTTTCTATTTTGACCTTTATGATATGACTTATACTTACTTCCAGGTCATCCTGAAACTCTTGCTGTGTTCTTCTTGCTGACCCTCAAACTCACTCACCTTCTTTCCATCTTGGGGCAATAATTCCTCCATGAAGCTGCTGCTGTTTTTCATCTTTAATGCCTCAGAGAGACTTGTATTGACTTTGCCACCAAATTAGAGCTCCCCCAATACCACTCCTTGTCCCAATAGTCTGTATTCTCAGAGCTTTATGACCGTGAGAAATTGTGTTATTATTTGCCTATTTATTTGCTTGTTGTCTGTCTTGCTCTCTAAGAGAATGTAAATTCTGTGAGAGCAGACTTTGTGTTTCTTTCATTTCACTGCTACCCCAGTACCTAAAACTGCACTTGTAACTTAGAAGGGACTCAGTGAACAGTTGTTAAATGAATGAAAGAATGAATGAATTCTGTAGGGATTAACCTTGCACACATATATAATCTATATTTATGAATTGTAAGTGTAGTCATGCCTCAATATGTAAATATTAAATTTTTATTTTAAAGAATAAATTGCTCTATGTTTATTTCTCCTTTACATGGTATTATTGGAATTCTTAAAGAATTTATATGTGTATAGGCATACCTCGAAGACATTACAGGCTCAGTTCCAGACTTTGTAATAAAGATATCACAATAAAAGGAATATTGCAATAAAGCCAGAGTCACACAAATATTTTTCTTTTCCAATGCATATAAGAGTTACGTTTACACTATACTGCAGTGTATTAACTGTGTAATAGTATTATGTTTAAGAAAAACCAATGTATATACCTTAATTTAATAATGCTTTGTTGCTAGAAAAAATTCTGGCACAGAGACATGAAATGAGAGCATGCTGTTGGAAAAATAGCATCGATCGGCTTTCTCAGCGCATCTTTGCCACAATCCTTCCATTTGTAAAAAGTGCAGTATCGGCCAGGTGCAGTGGCTCACACCTGTAATCTCAGCACTTTGGGAGGATGAGGTGGGTGGATCCTGAGGTCAAGAGATCGAGACCATCCTGGCCGACATGGTGAAACCCCGTCTCTAATAAAAATACAAAAATTAGCTGGGCGTGGTGGCATGCGCCTATAGTCCCAGCTACTTGGAAGGTTGAGACAGGAGAATTGCTTGAACCCAGAAGGTAGAGGTTATGGTGAGCTGAGATGGTGCTGCTGCACCCCAGCCCAGTGACAGAGCGAGAATCCACCGCAAAAAAAAAAAAAGTGCAGTATGTCCAAAGCACAATAAAGCGAAGTGCAATAAAATGAGGTATGACTGCATATTACCTATACATTTCAGAAGTAATATTAAGTATTTATTTTAAAAGGAGACGCTGGTTTTCAAAGGATTGAGAACCACTGTCCTAAGTGCTGATGACTTTCTATCCTCTAAGCACCAACCCCTATTTGTCTGACATTCTACTGGACAGCCTGCTCTCTGATATGGCATGGCATTCTAAGTTCAACCCCTCCAAAACAAAACACATCACCTGACTCCACAAAACTTCCTCCTTGTGCTTGGCTCCCAGGTGTTGTGCTTTTGCTTACTGTCCCCATGCATTTAATCAGTTGTCAAATATTATCTTTCTACGTGCTGGACACTACTTGCAATTGTCTATTCCTTTAATTCCCCATTACCATGCTATAGTTGAGATGCTCACCATCTTGTCCCTGGCACCTTGCAACATTCTCCTCTGGGGTCTTCCGCTACCCTTATACCCCCTTTATTTACATATTATCTAAATAGCATTTATAGTGTGTATATCAAATAACACACAGCCTGTTGGATTTCTCAGTCTCCGGTCACATGAGCCAATCCCCTAATAAATCTCCTCTCATCTCTCTCTCTCTCTCTCCTCTCTCTCTCCCTTTCATCTTGGTATATATCCATCCATCTATTTATCTCCTTCTGGTTCCGTCTCCTGGAAAGACCATTAGTAATATAGATTTTGTTACCAGAAATGGTCCTAAAGGAGCAGATTTTTTTTTTTTTTTTTGAAATGGAGTTTTGCTGTTGTTGCCCAGGCTGGAGTGCAGTGGCACAATCTCGGCTCGCCACAACCTCCACCTCCTGGATTCAAGCTATTCTCCTGCCTCAGCCTCCTGAGTTGCTAGGATTACAGGCATATGCCACCACACCTGGGTAATTTTGTATTTTTAGTAGAGACGGGGTTTCTCCATGTTGGTAAGCCTGGTCTCGAACTCCCGACCTCTGGCGATCCTCCTGCCTTGGCCTCCCAGAGTGCTGGGATTACAGGTGTGGGCCACTGTGCCCGGCCGAGGAATAGAATTTTAAGGATAAGTTTCCTTAATTGGTTTTGGGGTTTCTGAAAGTGCTTCTTTAATTGATTAGACCCAACGATGCTAGGAACTCTACTTCTAGTAGTACAGAGGCCACTGATAGCCCTTGGCGTGAACTGTTTTAGAGACAGCAAAACAAATGCATTTGATATTTGTAATTTGCTACTTATAAGAGGAAAGAATTTAATGACTCTATACATAATATTCTCAAACATTTGTGGAAAACCAAGGAATATAATGATGTTTGTTGGTTGCTCCTGGTGTCGCTGGATAGAGTGATGAAGGAAATGGATGAGCTCCAGGTGGGATTTCCTGGTTCCCACTCCACATAAGCGACTTGGGAGTTTCTAGGTGTGTCCTCGGTCAGAATCATCTCTCCTGTAACTATAGGTCTGAAATTGCCAAAAATCAAACACAAACTGTCATCACACGACTGGCTGAATTGAAGGAAAGCTGAACTCTCAGCCTCACCGACTAGTATTAAAGTGGGGACATTGGTTAGGAAACAGCGGAATTCTGCAACTTGTGATGAAAACGTGTAGAAAGACCCTGATGAACTTGCTGAGTCTCACTGGCCAGAAGTGACCTCCCCATTTCCACTCCCATCCTCAGAGGCAGCGATGTCCCCACCCACAGTGGTATCAACCTTTCTGCTCTGTCGGAGGAGATTAACTGGAGACAGTAGTGCCTTCCCATGAGGCAGTAGCCATACAAGATAATCCCGATTCTCCTCAGGACCCAGCCCCACCACCCTTTTTTGCTTCTAGAACTATAACTAGACTCAAGTCCCATCAGGATCCTACAGGCAAGATACCAAGTGTGAGTCATGAGGAGGTATGCTATACCCTAAAAGAGCTACTTGAGTTTTCCAGTCTATAAAGCAGAAATATCTGGAACATGTGTGAGAATGGATATGAAGGGTGTGGGATAATGGTGAAGGGAACCCACAGTTGGATCAGGCTGAAACGTATTGATATGGGCAGAGATTCTGCATGTACTGTTGCAGCTCAGGGGTTAGAAAGGTGCTAACAGTTTGGCTGAAACATGGATCAAAAGATGTCCCATCAACAGCAAGTTAGAAGTGGCTGGTGTCCTGTGGCTTACCGTCGAGGAAGGGATTCAGGGCTTGAGAATGCTAGAGTGAATTTGCCACGTGAAACCTCACCCACACTAGGAGGGCCCAGAAGACATACCTTTCACCCATGCCTTGAGAAACAGATTTGTAAGGAGAGCCCCTGAATCCCTGAAGAGCTCTGTGGCTGCTCTTCTCTATTGGCCGTACTATACATACAGTGGGAACCACAGTCACTGAACTGAAAAACACAAAAGCAATGGTAGGCCCCACCTCCCAACACTACTGCATTGGAGATGAAGCTTCCAACACATGCTTTTAGGGGGACATTCAAACCTCAGCACAGGCTTAATGGAATTACTGCATATCTGCCATGGGCAGAGTAATTGAAGCTTGGAAAAACCCCCAAAAAACTACAATCCCTACTTAGTGTTGTGAAGCTCACAATCTTGTGAGAAAATGATGGCATCACAAAACGTGAGGGCTGGAAGAGATTTTTCAACTTTAATCCGGTCCATCGTTTCACAGAAGAGGAAATGGAGTAGATGGCACACCCTGAAGGCAAGTTGTAGTAGAACTGGACTAGAAGCTAAATTCCCTGGTAGGAACACTAGAACACGAACACACACACACACACACACACACACACACACACACACACACACACACACGTGTGCCTGCCACACAGAGGAAGTAAGAGAGTGCAGTAAGTGCATGCAACCTTACTGGTTAGCTGGTAAATGAAACCCCATTTAAAAACTGGGAAATACAGCTCAGTGCAGTGGTTCACGCCTGTAATCCCAGCACTTCAGGAGGCTGAGGCAGGTGGATCCCTTGAGGTCGGGAGTTCAAAACCAGCCTGGCCAACATAGTGAAACCCTGTCTCTACTAAAAATACAAAAATTAGCTGGGCATGGTGGTACACGCCTGTGGTCCTAGCTACTTGGGAGGCTGAGGCAGGAGAATTACTTGAACCCAAGAAGTGGAGGCTTCAGTGAGCTGAGATCACGCCACTGCACTCCAGCTGGGGCGACAGAGTAAGACTTAGTCTCAAAATAAATAGATAAATAAAATAATAAAAACTGGGAAATACTAGTGAAGTGATTGAGGTCCATGTGCAGTCTTGGACAAGTAACTTAAATTCTTTGTGCCTCTCTGTCCTCACTTATAAAATAGGGATGATAGTGGCTACCTTTCAGAGTGTTCTCGGAATGATCAATGATGTACGTAAAACACCCTATCAACTAGCAATGCTTTTGGCTGCAAGGAATACAAAATCCAACTGATAGCGTTCTAAACAAACAAGGGTTTATTTTTGTCCTATTAAGAACATGGAGGCAGGAGGCTGCTGGCATTTATTAGTGCAGTGGCATGGGTCTCTGAAAGTTTCTTGGCCTTTCCTTTATGTTTGCGGCTTCATGATGGCTAAATAATGTGAAAGTTCCAGATGTCATGTTTGCATTCAAAGTAGGAATAAGAGGAAATGAAGGAAGGCTCTTCTAGGCACATCTAACCCTGGCTCTGGGGACAGCAGGTTGACCTAGACATGCCCCAGCAGAATTCTGCTTTTATGTCATGGACTCAGTGCCATCATCGCATTTTCCCTAGCTAGATGAAAAGCTATATAAAGCTAAATGTTTGGCTATTAAGCCTCAAGAATGGGGGCAGCAAGGGAAAGGAGGCTGGGAATAGCTTTTTAGTAGCCAATGAACAGGACCTGCCATAAGAACCTATCATAGAAGAGGCCTATTAAAGGGTGGTTTTTGGAATTTTAAGTAAACCTTTGAGGCTTGCCGTGAATCTATCCAGGCATTTTGACCTTCAACAATGACCTTTCATTACAAAGAGTTAATAAGAAAGCATGAGCTGGTTTTGGTGTGTGGTTTGTAGCTCCGTCTCATCACTTACTTTTCACGTTTTATGGATTTCTTGAAATTGCCCTGGGATTATGGGAATTTGGTGACTCAGGTCATGAACTCCATTATTTTGGCTTTAGCCCTTAAGGTAAAGATCCGATATTAAGCTGCTGGTCTTTATACCTATTTTTAACATCTTGGATTTGGAGGTAAAAGATATTGGATGAAACCCCAAAACACATTCAAGGTTATGAAGTAATGAAAATGTAAGTGGAAGCATGAAGATTCAGTGTGTTCTTTATCATCCTTTGCAGCTTAAATAAAATGACTGACTATTCTCAGAGTCGAGAATAATTCAGGATTTAATTGGCAAAGGTATTTTAAGGTTCTGTCTTTTTCTATTTTTCTCCTGCCTTGGTAAAGCTATGAGTTATGTTGTAAGCACTGAGCATCTTGAAAGGGTAGTTACTAAGACAACATATTAAATTAAGAATTAATTGGATTTTTAAAAATTCTCCTGTGTGTACATACAAACATATCGTTATTATGGTTCTCATTTTACCTTGGCACAATATCCTCCTAAAGAGAAGCCTGTATATTCTTTGGATTCTGAAAATTAACATTTTCACACCTTCATAAGCAAACAGAATCTTTTTAACATATAAAGGATCTCCTTCCTAGGGAAAAGTTACTTATGATATACTTGTTAGTAGGTCTCCGGGCTGGCTTCCACCAAATTTTAATAAGTCATTGCATTTTCTATAAGCTAATTCCCCAGTTCCCATTGATTATTTGCCAATAAGGTCCAGGTGTATTTTCCATATGCGTTCCTTAATTCATTGTGAGCACGTGAGATTCCTCTAAAGTGGCTAATTATGCATCTCAAATCTAAGCTCTGTAAGCGCTGGCAAGTGCTGCTGATGATACAAATTAAGTAGTCCAGTAGATTGTTGAAGTTGTCTATGGAAACAACTGTAAGCTTTCCTGTCAGTGCAGAAGGTTAGGGTCAGCAGGCATCTTAAAGAACACACAACACATCCTATTTATGTTACAAAGAATCAAGGCACAGATTTTTGTGGGGTTTTTGTTTTGTTTTTTGTTTGTCTGGGGGGACAGGGTCTCGCTCTGTCACCCAGGTTGGAGTGTATGATCTCAGCTCATTGCAGCGTCTTCAGCCTCAACCTCCTGGGCTCAAGCAATCCTCCTATCTCAGCCTCCCGAGTAGCTGGGACTACAGGTGCGGGCCACCACAGCTGAGTAATTTCTGTACTTTTTGTAGACATGGAGTTTCATCATGTTGCCCAGGCTACTCTTGAATTCCTGAGCTCAAGCAATCTGCCCACCTTGGCCTCTTAAAGTGCTGGGATTACAGGCGTGAGCCACCGCACCCCCAGCCTGCATAGCTTTCAATAGAGATCATGTGGGAATGGGCTTCTCCCCATAAGCTTTATAAGCTTTTTTCCCTATCTCTGCTGGATGTGAGGCACTAGGTTAGATCTTAGGGATACAAAAGGGACTCAGATATGACCTTTCCCTAAAGAGCTCATGATCTTAGGAACCTGCAAGAGGAATGAGAAAGGTGAAGGGCCCTGATTTATGTAGATGTCATCTCTGCCTACCTGAGAGAGAGAAAGGCAGGGAGGGTGGTGATTTTAATTAAATGAAGCCTCTTCTCTTCTTCATTTTGTCTTCTCTAAACAATCTTCAGCAGAAGGTAAAGTGATAGCTTTATGTTCAGAAGACTGAGAAAACAAATTTTGACTCAGCTATTTACCCCTTTGCATCTCAATTTTTTCTCTCTTTTTTTTTTTTTTTTTTGACAGGATCTCACTCTGTCACCCAGACTGGAGTGCAGTGGCGCAATCTCAGCTCACCATACCTCCACCTCCCAGGCTCAAGTGATTCGCCAGCCTCAGCCTCCTCTACGATCTCTACTGAAAGACAGGCAGCTGGGATTACAGGTTCGAGCCACCACACCCAACTAATTTTTGTATTTTTAGTAGAGATGGAATTTCACCATGTTGGCCAGGCTGGTCTTGAACTCCTGACCTCAGATCCGCCCATCTTGGCCTCCCAAAGTGCTGGGATTATAGGTGTGAGCCACAGCACCCAGCCACTCAATTTCTTTATCTGTAAATAAAAATGATAGTAATACCCATCCCCTAGAATTATGACAATACATAGTAAAATAGAGTCCCCAGCATGTGCGTTTTGTTGGGAAGTGAATGTACTATTCTCCAGGTGGACTTCAGTGAATGTAATCTCCCTTATGTTTCTCCAGTCTCATTTTTCTCTCTCAAACGATTTGCCCTTCAAGACCGAGACAAAGCTTCCCTCAACACCCTTCCTCTTGTGCCTCTCAGATCTGGTGACTTCCAGGGCTGCTGGCAACACAAACCCCTTAGAAATCGTAAGAGTGAAATGTAGGTGGGGGTGTGGGATTGGGGTGGCTCAGTAGGGTGTGTGGAGCAGGGAGATGGGAGGAAAGTTGTAGCTGCAATCATTGGAGGCTCCTCAGCCTGCAATGACCGGGGTGTGATTGGGGTATGGCCGCCAGCTCTTACGTCTCTTCAGCCTCAGCATTCAGGGTTTCCACTCCATCCTCTGTCATCGTCCACCATCAGGGCACCAACAAGGGTTACTTTAGCATGGTTTAGGCAAGTGCCATGCCCTCCACTTAGAGTAATTGGGTACTCCATAATTCTTTCTTATTATTATAAATAATGATGATTTTCTTCATTATAAAAAAAATACATGTTATTTTTAATCAGAAAAAGAAAAATGTTGAAATACACTTTTTTATTATTTTGAAGCTTCACCATCTTTTAAATGCAAGTATGTTAGTGAATCGTTGAAAAAAGTTTTGAAAAAAAACTTTTTTTGAGGCGGAGTCTCGCTCTGTTGCCCAAGCTGGAGGGCAGTGGCATGATCTTGGCTCACTGCAACCTCCTCCTTCTGGATTCAAGCAATTCTCCCACCTCAGCCTCCTGCATAGCTAGGACTACAGGTGTGCACCACCACACCCAGCTAATTTTTGTATTTTTACTAGAGACAGGGTTTCACCATATTGGTCAGGCTGGTCTTGAACTCCTGACCTCATGATCCACCCGCCTTGGCCTTCCAAAGTGCTGGGATTACAGGCGTAAGCCTCTGCGCCTGGCCCTAATGTTATTTTTTAATCAGAAAAAGAAAAATATTGAAATACACTTTTTATTATTTTGAAGCTTCACCATCTTTTAAATGCAAGCATGTCAGTGAATTGTAGAAAAAAGTTTTTGTTGAATTTACTCCTAAGTGTTTGATTTTTGATGCTGTTTGAATTGAATTATTTTCTTAATTTTATTTCCAGATTTTCCATTGCTAGAAATAAAATAGAAATAAAATTTTTATATGTTAATACTGTATCCTTCAACCTTGCTAAAATGCATTAACTCTAATCATTTTTTCTGTATATTCCTAGGATTTTTTTAATGTATAACATCACGTCATCTGCAAATAGATACAGGTTTACTTCTTTTTTTATCTAGATGTCATTTTTTTCTTGCCTAATCATCCTAGTTATAATCTTCAATACATTGAACAGAAATAGTGGACACTGACATCTTTTTTTTTCTCCTGATCTTAGGGAGAAAGCTTTTAGTCTTTCACCATTACGTATGATGCCAGCTGTGATTCTTATAAGGTGAGGATGTTTCCTTCTATTTCTAGTTCTTAAACTGTTTTTCTAAAATCATTAAAGGCAGTTGGATTTATCAAATGCTTTTTCTGCGTCTATGGAGATGATCGTGTTCTTTTTGCCCTTTGTTCTGTTCATGTTGGTCTATTACATGATTTTTCTTATGTTTAACCAAGTTTAGATAACTGGGATAAATAACTCATGGTTATACACGTTGGTGGATTCCGTTTGCTCTTATTGGTTGGGTACGATGGTCTGTAGTTCTCTTTATTGTGGGTGATGTCTTCGTCTGCTTCTTTATTTAATTTATTTCTGCTCCACATTATTTTCTTCCTTCTCTTCCCTTCGCATAGAAGTCCTAGGAAGAACTTCTCCTTCCTAGGCCTCCCAAAGTGTTGGCTGACAGACGTGAGCCACTGCACCCAGCCACTGTTCAAGTCTTCTGTTCCCTTTCTGTTTCCTTGCAGTTGTTCTCTTCAAGATTGAAAGTGGAGTGTTGAATTCTCCAACCACTCTTTGTTGAATTATCTTTCTCCCTTTCATGCTGTAAGATTTTGCCTCATATACTTTGGGAGTCTGTTGCTAGGTGTAGTACGTTTATAACTGTTATATCTGCTCGATAACTGACACTTTCATCATTAGGAAGTACCGTCCTTTTTCTTTAGTAACCATTTTTACCTTAAATCTACTTTGTCTATTATTAGTTCAGTCATGACAGCTGCTATACTATTCACGCTATGTTATGCATAACATATTATGCTATGCTATACACAAATGTATACATATGTATATATATGCAGTACCTTATGCTATACATAACATGTGCATGTGCATGTACATATACATAAATATACACCTATATACATACATATATATTATGCTATGCTATAAACAGCTAGTTACTGTCTGCACAGTATTTCTTCTCCCTCCTTTTATTTTCAAACTATTTGTTTATTTAGATCCTGTTATAAAAGAAAGCATACAGTTGGATCATTTAAAAAAATCCATGTTGCCAGTATCTGCGTTTGATTGGAGTGTTTAATCCATATATGTTTAATGTAATTATTGATCCTATGGAATTTATGTCTGTTAATTTGTCTTTGTATCTACACATTTTATGTGCTTTTTTATTCCTCTATTCATCCATTACTGACTTCTTTTGCATTAAATAGATATTTTTGTCTTGCATTTTAATTCCCCTTCACTATATATTTTTTAGTTATTTTCTTAGTACTTACTCTAGGACTTACTATTAACCTCTCAATTTATCCAAATCTAGTTGGGTTTAATACCAACTTAGTTTCAATAGCCCACACAAGTTTTGCTCCTATATAGATCCATGCCTTCTTTGTGCTGTTTTACAACAGCCCATCTCTATATATTATAGATCCGTCAGCACACACAAATTTATCATTATTGCTTTACACAGTTGTATTTTAAATTTTTTTAAAAAAGAGTTTTTAAAAAAAAATTTTATCTTTTATATTTACCTGTGCAATTACCCTTCTTGGAGATCTTTATTTCTTCATGTGGATTTGAATCACTTACTGTGTGGTGTCCTTTCATATCAGACTGAAGGAATCCTTTTAGCACCTCTTGTGGGGCAGGTCTACCAGTGATGAACTCCCTTAGCTTTCATTTATCTGGGAATGTTCTATTTTTCTTTCATTTTTGAAAGACATGGAATTCTTGGTTGACTGTCTTTCTTTCACCACTTTCAATGTATCATCTCATTGCCTCCTGGCCTTCATGTTTTCTGATGAGAAATCAGCTGTTTTCTGATGTGAAATCTCGTTGAGGATCCCTTGTGTGGGATGAGTCATTCTCTCGTGCTGCTTCCAAAATTCTTTGTCTTTTGTTTTAGCTGGTTTAATTGTAATGTGTCTAGGTTTAGATCTCTTTGAGTCTATCTATGTGGAGCTTCGACCATGTGTAGTTGATGTTTTTCCTTAAATTTGGGAGGTTTTCACCCATTATTTCTTCAGATATTCTGTTTTCCTCTTTCTCCTTTCTTTCTGAACCTCATACTATATGTATGTCAGTTCACTTCAAGGTATCCCACAGGTCCCTGAGGATCTTTATTTTTATTCATTCTTATTCTTTTTCTTTCTCACTGTATAATCTCATTTGACCTACCTTCAAATTTGCTGCTTGCCCAAATCTGCTGTTGAGTTCCTTCAGTGAATTTTTTATTTAGCTAGTACAACTCTGAAATGCTATTTAGTTCTTTTTAACATTTCTTTTTTCTGATCCTCCCCAACAGCTGCATTACAGTGAGGTGGTTGTGGGGACTTTCAGGCTGGGGTGAGGTGGTGGGCACAGCAGGGGGTGGGAGCTGCATGGGGACCACTTTATGAGGAAAAGGCAGTTGAGCCTGTGTGACGTGGCAAAACTCTGTTTCTACAAAAACTTTAAAATTAGCTGGGTGTGGTGGCCCATGCCAGTAGTCCCAGTTACTCAGGAGGCTTGAGGTGGGGAGGCTGTGGTGACAAGATCGCTTAAGCCCATAGGTGGAGACTGCAATCCATCCTGAGTGACAGAGTGAAACCCCATCTAAAAATAAATAAAATTATAAGCTTTTTTCTATTAAAAATTTATTTTACAAACATTATGTATCAATAACAAATAAAATAATTTTTTTCTTTTACCTTTTTTTTTTTTTTGTAATGGAGTTTCGCTTTCGTTGCCCGAGCTGGAGCACAGTGGCGCAATCTTGGCTCACTGTGACCTCCGCCTCCCAGGTTCCAGCAATTCTCCTGTCTCAGCCTCCGAGTAGCTAGGGTAGCTGGAATTACAGGTGTGTACCACCACACCCAGCTAGTTTTTGTATTTTTAGTAGCGATGGGATTTCACCACGTTCACCAGGATGGTCTCCATCTCCTGACCTCAGGTGATCCACCCACCTCGGCTTCCCAAAGTGCTGGGATTACAGGCATGAGCCACCATGCCCAGCCATTTTCACTTTTTAAACTTTTTTTTTAGAAACGAAGATAGAAACACACACACATAAGGCTAGTCCTACCCAGGGTCAGGGTCAGCAGTATCACTGTCTTCCACGTTCGCTTGTCCGACTAGAAGGTCTTCAGGACAAAAACAAACAAACAAACAACAAACAAACGTGTGGAGCTGTCATCCCCTGTGAAAACAATGCCTTCTTCTGGAATCCCACTTGAAGGACCTGCCTGAAGCTTTTCTTGAGGACTAGGTTTGTTCATACCCGAATCATGCTGTTGTGCTAAATTACAGTTGCTACAAAGTTAATAGTAATTTTTCAGCTCCATTATAATCTCACGGACCATCATCATGTATGGGGTCTGTCTTTGACAGAAATGTTTTGCCAACCATGACTGTAGTTTATGTTCTCCAGAATGTCATAGAAATGGAGCACAGTAGACAGCCTTTTAAGTATGATTTTTTTTTTTTTTTTGAGACGGAGTCTTGCTCTGTCACCAGGCTGGAGTGCAGTGGCACAAGCTCAGCTCACTGCAACCTCCGCATCCTGGGTTTAAGCGATTCTTCCGCCTCAGCCTCCTGAGTAGCTAGGAGTACAGGTGCATGCCAAACGCCCGGCTTATTTTTGTATTTTTAGTAGAGACCAGATTTCACCATGTTGGCCAGGATGGTCTCGATCTCTTGACCTCGTGATCCACCTGCCTCAGCCTCCCAAAGTGCTGGAATTACAGGCACAAGCCACCATGCCCGACCAAGTCTGGCTTCTTCAAGTGGTCATATTTAGGCTAATCCTTCTCACTAGCTGTATTGGTAGTTTATTTTAATCACACTGTAGCATTTCATCTTATACCACAGTTTATTTATTCCTCAGTTGAGGGCAACTTGTGTGATTTTCAAATTACAGCCATTTTGGATAAAGTCACTGTAAACATTTGTATACAGGTTTCTGTGTAAACATCAGTTTTGTTCCACTTGGGTAAATACCGAGGGGCAGGATTAGCGGGTATGTTCAGTGTATGTTGAACCTTACAAGAAATTTTACAAACTTCTTCCTAAAGAGGCTGTATTAGTTCGCTTTCTCAACATCAGTGTTTGTAGGTTCTAGCTATTTCACATCTTCTCCAACGGTTACTATTTTCAGTTGTTTTTTTTTTTTTTTTTTTTAATTTCAGCCATTCTAAAGGGTGGCGTCTCACTGTGGCTTTAATTTACATTCCCCTAATGGCAGATGTGGTGCATCTTTACTTGAGCTTAATTTATGCATTGGCATCTTTAAGACACACACACACACACACACACACACACACACACACAGTCATGATTGTGTACAGTGTCACCATGAGAAGTATTTGCAGTAGCTGGGGATTGAAAACTCTTACATTTCATCTTCTATTCTTCTTTATGTGCTATCTAAATTTTGTCAAAAGCATGTTAATTTTGAATTTTTAAAACACAAGTTAATGTTTTAAAAAATTTCCTCCTGGCCAGGCGCAGCGGCTCATGCCTATAATCCCAGCATTTTGGGAGGCTGAAATGGGCGTATCACCTAGGTCAGGAGTTCAAGACCAGCCTGGCCAACATGGTGACACCTTGTCTCTACTAAAAATACAAATAATTAGCTGGGTGTGGTGGGGGGGTGCCTGTAATCCCAGCTACTCAGGAGGCTGAGGCAGGAGAATTACTTGAGCCCACGAGGTGGAGGTTGCAGTGAGCTGAGATTGCACCACTGCACTCCAGCCTGGGCAACAAGAGCAAAACTCTGTCTCAAAAAAAAAATTTCCTCCTATAGATAAAACCATCTCTGTGCTTTATGAATTCTCTAATAGGGCTTCATATACAAAATATAAAAAGAGTAGATTACTCAGATAACCACAGGGGAATCTAAGATTCAAAGGGCATTGTGTTCAGTTCTGTAAAGAGCTCCCTCTCATCCATCTCTTCTGATGTTCAGACCTCATCATAAGGTAAGACAATGTTATTTATTTCACCTATTTCAAAAATCCATAACCAATCACTTTGATCACTTTGGTAGGAAAAATGGGCATGGTGGTTTATGACTGTAATCCCAGAAGTTTGGGAGGCCAAGGTGGGCAGATTACCTGAGGTCAGGAGTTCGAGAACAGCCTAGCCAACATGGCAAAACCTCTTCTCTACTAAAGATACAAAAATTAGCCAGGTTTGGGGGCACGTGCATGTAGCTCCAGTCACTTGGGAGGCTGAGGCAGGAGAATTGCTTGAACCTGGGAGGTGGAGGTTACAGTGAGCCAGGATGGTGCCACTGGACTCCAGCCTGGGCAACAGTGCAAGACTCTGTCTCAAAAAAACAAAAAAAACAAAAAAAAAAGCTTAGAATGGGAGCAATATAAAATTTTAATTTCAAAATTGAACCCTAACCACAAAGAGATACCATAACACACCTATTAGGAATGTATGACATTGGAACACTTGAACATACCAAGCATGGGTGAGAATATAGAACAACTGCAACTCACGTACAAGGCTGGTGGGAATGCAAAATGGTACAACCAATTTGGAAAGCTTTTTGGCAGTTTCTTAAAAAGTTTCAGCCAGGTGCAGTGGCTCACACCTATAAAATCTCAGCTACTTGGGACGCTGGGGCAGGAGGATCGCTTGAACCCAGGAGGCAGAGGCTGCAATGAGCAGAGATCATGCCATTGCACTCCAGCCTGGACGACAGAGAGCAAGACTCTGTCTCGGAAAAAAAAAAAAAAAAGCAGTTACCATATGACCCAATTATTCCACTCCTTAGGTATTTACTTGAATGAAAGAAAAGCATACGTCCAAATACTTGTACGCAATGTTGATAGCAGCCTTATTCGTAGGGCTCCAGACCGGAACAAGGTGCCGTCCACATGTGGATGAATAAACAATGAGACAGCTGTAAAATGGAATACTACTCAGCAACTTAAAATAATGGATATGGATAAATCTCGAAATAACAATGTTGAGTGAAAGAAGTCAGCCAAAATATGAATACAAACAGTATGCTTCCCCTTATATAAAATCTGAGAATGTGAAAACAAATCTATAATGGCAGAAAGCGCATCAGTGGGTGCCTGGGGATGGGAGAGGGGCCACAAAGAGCATGGGAGCAGGATTGCAAGGATGCTCGACGTCACTTTTGGGGACGGTGGATGTATTCATTATCATGATGCTGGTGATGGTTTCCTAGGCATATACAGATGTCAACACTTAAATTATCTAATTTAAATATGTATAGTTTATTTTATGACAATTATGCTTTAATAAAGCCTGCTTTGAAATAACACTTTAAGAAAACCTGAACCTTAACGATAGTTGCAAAGTGTTTGGCTTCCTTATATAAAATTATTAATAAACAAGAAGCCATCCTGATGCCTTTAGACTAGAGGCTTGTGGGCCTTTTGTTGTTGTTTGAGACAGAATTTTGCCCTGTCACAGGGCAGTGGCATGAACATGGCTCACTGTAGCCTCGAGCTCCCAGACTCGAGGGCTTCTCCCACCTCAGCCTCCCAGGTAGCTGGGACTACAGCCCTGTGCCACCACTCCCAGCTAATTTTTTTTTTTTTTTTTGTAGAAAGAGGTTTCACCGTATTGCCCATACTAGTCTCGAATCCTAGGCTCAAGTGATCTGCCCTCTTTGGTTTCCCAAAGCGCTGGGATTACAGGCGTGAGCCACTGCACCCGGCCCAGGCCTGTTTTTTTTGTTTTGTTTTGTTTTTAATCTTTGAAGCATGAGATGATGGTGATGAGGAGGCTGAAGAAGTCTGGAAGATGGATTGAGTGGCAGAACCCTTTTCTCCTCTCAACTCCTTCTCCTACAACCTATTGATCAGCTCATTGCCGTGGTACCCAGAACAGAAGCCACTCGTCACATGTGTCCATTGAGCACTTGGAATGTGGCTAGTGAGGAGCTAAATAATTTATTTTATTGTACTCAATTCACTAGTTGAACTGATTTAAAATGTAATTAAAATAGCAACATGTCTGGTGGCTGCCATGTTGAACAGATCAACTGTAAAGCACTTGTTGCTAGAAATCTGTTTACTGCTGTTCTGTCCCTGTCCAATTGCTATTTTATTTTGCTTCATATTATTTATTTATTTATTGAGGCAGGGTCTGGCCCTGTCGCCAGGCTGGACTGGAGTGATGCAATCATAGCTTGCTGCAGCCTCAACCTCCCAGGCTCAAGCAATCCTCCTCTCTCAGCCTTCCAAGTAGCTGGGACTACAGGTGTGTGTCACCACACTCAGCTAATTTTTGTACTTTTTGTAGAGATGGGGTCTCACCATGTTTCACAGGTTGATCTCAAACTGCTAACATAAAGCCATCCACCCACCTCAGCCTCCCAGAGTGCTGGGATTACAGGCTTGAGCTACCGTGGATGGCCCTGCTATTTTAGTTTTTTGT